AGCCTGCCGACTGAAAGATCCCAGGTTCAATTCCAGCCAAGGGCACATGCCTGGGTTTCGGGCTTGATCCCCAGTAGGGGGCATGCAGGAGGCAGCCGATCAATGATTTTCTCTCATCATAGAATTTTCTCTCTCTCCCTCTCTCTTTCTCTCGGAAATCAATAAAAAAAAATTTTTTTAAGAAAAGAAAGATCAATGATGGGAGATAATCATTGATTGGCTGCCTCCTGCACTCTCCCTACTGGAGACCAAGCCTGCATCCTAGGCATGCGCCCTTGACTGGAATTGAATCCGGGACCCTTCAGTCTGAAGACCGGTGCTCTATCCACTGAGCCAAACCAGCTAGGGCTACCAGACATTTTTTGAAAGCAGCTGTCTGGAAGTTTAGGTAGCCATCAGTGGGATACCAGGCCGTGGAGATAGAATGTGGACAGTATCAAAACATCCAGGATGAAGGAATTGATTTCTAACATCCGTGATTCCTTTTCTTTTGGGGGCTTATTGAAAACTTTCCACTCAGACTTTTTAAATACCCACCTCAACATTGTGAATTTCCCTGGTGCATTTGACCAGGGAAGGACGAATTTACTTTTAGGTACAATTAAAATTCTAATGTATCGGATATAAAAGCACAGCCACATCCCAAGACTCAGCAGTGGCATTATTGGAGGAAAGGCTGCAGAAGTTAAAACACCAGAAGGGCTGTCGTCTCGACAATCCACTAAAAAGGGGGTTAGGATAATTAGAGGAACATCCCGTAGGCATGTTGTAAGGAACCCGCAGAAACCTACCTAATCATCCCCAACTGAATGGGAATGGCTTCAGCATCCATTTTCTGCAACTGAGACCTCCGGAGCAAGAGGTGTTGCTGTGCCTACGGCCCCACCAGCACCATCCGGGGCCGCATAATGGACCTTGTACCTATATTAAAGGCAATTAAACAAGCCCTTAAAATACAGCTTCAGAGGCTTGCAGGATGGTTATAATGGAAGCTTCTGAAAAACCTACCAGAATTGGGGAGCAGAGAGGAAGCCTTTGAGGAGATTTTCAAGCATTCATGAAAACCAAAATAGATTATCCCTCTGGCTCACCTCAAAAACACGAACCCAGCGTTCAGCTCCCGCTCCTGCTCATACTGGTATCTTGTGCCATTAGAATGTTTAAAACCCGCCCTTCACAGAGCATGCAATGTATGCACTGAACCTGAGCATCTTTCTGGAATGAATGATACTTCCATTCATTTGGGTGAGTTAGGTAGTGTCTGCAGGGTGGAAGAATAACACTCATCTGGTGCCCGAGTCTACAATAGCTCTTTCAAAATGCAAGGGATGATAAAGGACTGGCTTTTGAAACATTATTTTACACACTAGCAGCTGCACTTGATGGAAATGATGACTTTTTGTCCCTGTTCCTTGAGGGCTCCCGTATGATACTGTGTGGGGATGCATTTAATATGATACTGTGTAGGGATGTATTTAATATGATACTGTGTGGGGATGCATTTAAAGCAGTGGCTAGAGGCAAGTTAATGCTGCTAACTTGGGGGAAAAATCTTCATTTAAGGCACAGAGTGGGCACTGGGATGCAAAAATAAGAACCCCTCTCCCAAATCTGCAATAAATCAAGAAGGGAAAGCACCGTTAGATTAATTGGAAGTGAATGGCATAAAGGAAAACAGCTATATTTGTGTCCGTATTTTTTTCAAGGCAGAAAACAGTGAATAAAATCTTAGTCATAAGCCTCAGGGCAAAAATGAACTCATAAAATATTTATCCTTTGGACTCGGATGCTGAAATCCATCTGGGATGATGAAAACCCTAGATCTCACCACGAACTTGGAGAGCCCTTCCCCGTGGCTTCCCGGTGCCTCGCGCACAGTCAGGAAGCGCCTGTGGCAGTGAGCAAGAATGAGATCAAGGTAAAATGGGTTTTCCAGCAGCAAGTGTTCAAGGCCTGCTATCTGTTGACGACCATTCATTGAAACCATGGGGTACAGTTTCGCCCAAGGAAAATTCCGGACTCCAAGATGGAGGTGCACTTCCTGTCTGGCTCACGCAGGACACTCAGTTACCATGGAACCCTGAAGGCTCCCGTGGCTCCGTAAGATGTGACACGTTTTACTCTGCAGTTTTGCAAAGACGAGAATGTAACGGGAAGGCAAGCTGGGGGATGGGAGAGCAAGATGAAGCGTTTATGAGTAGACACTTGATAAATTAGCCAGGGCGAATTAAAAGTGAATGCACGAGGACATTCATTCAATAAATTCGTACTCTGCATCTACACTGTGCCAGTACCGCAACCAGCCCAGCAATAGACGCTGAGAAGAGGCCGTCTCTGGCCCCAGGTAGCGATTCAGACATCACCTGTGTGAACACTAGACTTAGTGCCGAGTTCCGTGCTAGGAAAATGTCTTCAAAGAAATACAAATGGGAAAAGTTCTCTTTTGCCAATTAGTAGTCTATAGAAAGACTTCTAAACCATGCCCTGAAAGTGTCATCTTGACCTTTTCAGACAGGAGAAAAAGTGAGGTAGGGCATCTTTCCTCTCTAGTTGCTCTTTTAAAAAAATAAATAAATAGAACCACTAAGTTGCTGTAAGAAATCATTCCTAATTAATAGACCTAACGTGTAATGTGTCATACTCCTAAGATGCTTACACAATTTTCTTCGCAAACGCATTATGGAAAAAGTACGGCTTTCAAATACACTTTCTGCTTGCTGCCACTGAATTTAATAAGAGCTTGTAGCAATATGTTGGTCTAATGGTCCATTCTGTTTAGTCTCCACTAAATAAAAATTGAAATAAGTGACAGGTGTCCTGGAAACCATACCGAGCAAATGCACCTTGCCCTTGCTCTCAGCAGGACATGGCAGAGATCAAATTATTTCATTGAGCTGTAGTTCCTGGCATATAAATGCTTAATAAATGTTTGTCCAAATATGCAGTGTCTGGGGCCCAGATAAGTGAAACGAGTCACCTCGGGTCACATAGCTAAGTGGCCGTAAAACCAAAGCTAAGTGCCAACCAGCGCTCTTTTCACGTCATGATACTGCTGCTTCTGTCCACGTGGCCATACAGTGCCTCTGAGCACTTGAGAGAGCACAGGGCTCTAGAGTCAGGTTTCTTGGGTTCAAATCCCAGCTCTGCCATTTACTAGCTGTGTGGCTTTGGAAAGTTAACTAGTCTCTCTTCCTTTTTTTTTTTTTTTCTTAAATTCTCACCTGAAGATATGTTTGTTGATTTTTTAGAGAGAGGACGAGGAAACGAGAGAGAGAGAGAGAGAGACCAGGGATTGACCCTGCAACCTAGGTATGCACCCTGACTGGGAATCGAACCTGCAACCTTTTGGTGCAGGAGATGACGCTCCAACCAACTGAGCCACCCAGCCAGGGATCTCCTTCCTTTCTGTTATCTGTAAAATAAAGAAAACAATACCTGTCCCTTCTTCAAAATGATTGTTGGGAGGTTAAATGCATTAATAGATGGCACAGTCCTGGGAACTTCAAAAAAACTGAGCATTGGGTGTTTTTCTCTGTGAGTGTTGGGAGAGCATGATTTCTGCGCTAGTGTTCAGTTGTTGGGGAAGGGAGGGTGCTGGCTGACACCACCTGCTGTAAAAACACGGTGTTTGCACAGATTCTGCTGAGCGTCCCGGTTGGAGAGCCACAGTTCCAGGCTAATGGGCTGCAGTGTGGGCGAGTGGCAGTGCTTCCGAACGTTTCCTCATCCCCCTTGGCACACAGAACATGACGTATTTGTGTAGCAGCCGAGTAAGCAGACGAGGCTGCTTGAGGCTCCAGGCTCCCTGGTTCTGTCCACTTGCCTGAGGACCGAAAGAATAAATGGTTCCACCCGCCTGCCACCCTTCTGAGGCCCGTCCATGGGAAGCGGCTCTACTGAGGTCTTTGTCAGCATCTCCCTGCTGCTTTAGTTCTGACTAGGCGTACGGAGTCATCCCCACTGTGGGCTCCAAGTAACGAGGAGCCGGTGTGCCCCCAGCAGGCTGCTCTGGAAGGTGTTGGGGGCACATGTGCGGCTGTGCGGGCTGTTCCTGTCTCCCAGCCCCCTGCTATGAAGCTGGCAGGTGCCATGGGCAGGTGAAAGGGTCGCCCTGCACACAGTGAGTGTGCAGTAAACCATCCCAAGAAGATGCCAGTAATCACCTCACCAGCTGCATGTTCCCAGGCAGAAAACTGAAGCTCAGAGCGACTGCCCACGGTTCCTCCCAAGGCTGGGGTAGAACTAAGACGGGAACCCAGGTGTTTCAACAACTCGGTGTGCTTCTTGCTGCCTGCTTTGTGGTCTCCATGGGGAGGGTGGATATCATTGGAGAAGGGAGGCTGCTCTGTGACTCCCTCCCCCTCTGCCCCAGAAGCCAAAGTCACCCCTTCTTCAACATTCTTCCACACATGAGCACAATGTGAGACCGTCCTGAGCAAGGCCTCCAGGAGCAGCCAAGGTGGGTCAGAGGGAGGAGAGGCGAGGAGGGCTGTTAGGAATCTGTGTTTGAGGCAGTCTACGTGGGAAATGACATGGGCTTCCATAAGGCAATATTGGTAAGAAGCGAGAGGAACCATTGGAATTAAAAGATGTCACAGCAGTAACATCAACAGGTGCTGTCTGCACGGTGAGGCTGGTGGGGAGGAAGGGAGAGGGGACTCCAAGACTTCCAGTTTGTCATTATGATCGTGTTATACGACAGTTGACAAATTGTTTTTTTTAATCCTTGCTTTTCATTTCTTCCTTCCTGTTTAGAGAACATCTTTTTTAACAGAAATTATTTCATTTCAAAGTTGAGAATTTTGCTAAGGTTGAAGGTCTCTGATGTATACAAATTCCCACTTTCTGCTTTTTCTTGGAGAGCAACGTAGCCCTTCTGTCCTGTTCTACAACCCTGTGGATCTGTTGAACTGCTTTCTCTTGTTTTTCTCCTGCTTTGAGAACTTCTTTTAAAGTACGGCATTTGCTTCTCTAAATACTGACTTTGACACCCTCCACAGCTACCCGCTCCCTTCCCCAGGGCTCAGCAGCTCAGACCGGCTACCCTTCGGCATCGAGGAGAACGGGGGCACGCCATTCACTACCAAAGCTTCGGGGAGGCACCACCACCACCACCACCACCAGCACCAGCACCAGCACCAGCACCACGCAAACTATGGCCTCTCGCTGACCCTGGAGAACAAGGAGGGGCCTTTGAGATCCCCAAACTCCAGCAGTAAATCCCTTACAAGTGAGTAGGGGTGGGGTAGTGGGAGGGATGCTACAGAGCATGACTGGCTTCCATGCATCCTCAAGACAGACCCTGCAGGTGCAGCGTGGAACGGAGCTAATGTCAGCACTCGGTTACTGGGTCTGGGCCTTGAGCAATTATGTAGGAGCAAGGTAGGGAGTATGGTTTACCAGGAAGCTGATTTCATTACAAGGTAACAATCCTCTTTCCTCCTGCTCATTCCTTAGCCCGTCTCTGCTTCATCCATCTCCAGCACAGGCTCAAGGTGACGAAAAGAGAAAGAGGGGAGTGAGGTGGCTAGAATCTCTGCTTTCCTAATTTCAGGAAAACCCATTCTAGCCCCTTTCTGACTTCCCTCTTCTGAGAGCAAGGTGACCTCAGATCTCAGGGAGAGAAGTTACGGAAATGGAGAGTAAGCCATTAGAAACATTTTTAGCAATTTAAAGGTGATTTTATAGCTGTTAAAGCTTTAAAAATGTGGGCTTGGGTTTTGTATGTCTATTATTTTATTTTTCTGGAATTCACTTCTATTATATTTTATGTAAGAATTGGTCTGTGACATCCAGGGGGCAAGAACTGATTCTTTATCATACACGGTTTGAAAAAGCTCTGAGGAAGAGGCAGGCGTCAAGAGGCGGCAATTCCCAGGCTCACTATTGAGCCAAATCTCCTCTTGGATCCCCGGTTTGCTCAGCTGTGAAATGGGGTAGAGGGTGTCCACATGGATGGCCAAGGAACCTTCCAGCGCTGACATTTTGGGAGTCTGTGAGCTGGTGAAAAGAAAGAGCCATTGGCCACTCGTTGGCCACAGGGAACAATTCCCGGTTGGCTAAGCCGGGAATGGGAATTCATCATTCCCTTGGTGTTGAAGAATCAGAACTCCCTCCCGTCATCACTATCCACACTGCCCTTGCCCTAGGCCGTGGCTCATCTTTTTGTATCTGGATAACTGTTACAGCCCCTTCAAGGGCACCCCCTCTAGTGCACTCTCCAGGTTGTAGCTGCCGAAGCAGGAGCTCTCACCAGGTACCTCTGACCAAATGCCTAAGACCGTCCCATGGTTCCTCCCCGTCCTGCAATAAAGCCCATATATCTAAGCATGGCCACACACAGAGCTTCACAGCCTGGCCCCTGCCGAGGTCTCCAGCCTTCCCTCCACTCACTATGCTCCAGCCACCACTCTGCTCTCACCACGCATGGTGCTGTTTCCCAGCCCAGGCCTTTGCACCTGCTTTCCGCTGCCCCGGTGAGCTCCTACACATCCCTCAGGAACTGGCTCAGATGTGGTCAGTGAAAGCATCTCTAACACCCCTCCCTGACTCCTAGCTGTGGAGTACCTTCTCTCTCACTCCTGTAGCAATTAAATAAGCCTTTTATTACTCTCATTTGGAGTTGTCTGCACATGCATCTGCCTCATTCATCTCTCTATTCCAGCTCCCCAGACCTAAATGGCAAAGAATACTTGGCACAAGTTTTAGTGTGTAATGAATAGCACATATTTAACGTCATGTGTTAATGGGTAAATACTAGCTAGTGGGAGGGATGGTGGAACTAATCCAAAGTAGTAGAGAAATAAAAATCAATGAATTTGACTTTAGAATCATAACCTAGTTTTTAAGGGCACATCCATATAGGCCTGTTAGCTTGAACACGAATCTTTCCAATTTGCATAGTGCTTTACCATTAATAAAGCATTTGTACATGCAGGGCCTCATTTCATATTTGCAACAATTTTGAAAGGTAAATAATTTTATTTTCAATGTAAAATGGCACAAAGGCTCAGAGAGGTCAAGTGATTCGCCCAGGCCACCCAGCTCATATATGAGGGAGTTAGGCCTTGAAACCTTGACCTTAGATGTTCTCACACCCCGTCAACTAGTTGTATTCAAGGGATGCAAGCTGCCAGAGGAGGAGGCAGGCAGAAAAGGTGCTGGCAGTGGGGCTCTGGAAGCATCTTTTACCGTCTAACTTTTCCTCATTCGTTCCCTTTTGTCTCTTATAGAACTGACTCCAGGAGCACCTGCCCTGTTCAGTGAGGCGGCCACGCATCTAAAGAAGCTGGAACTGGACACTGTGAAGACTCCTGGACCCTGGCCTGCTCTGCACATCAACATCAATAAGGTACCGAGGACCAGAACCAGGCAATGAGCGTGGACCTGGGGCTCACGTCAGACCTCTGATGATTACCCTGGCCTGCTTCCTAGACCCGGTGCCTTTGGCTTGGAGGGGTTTCTCCTCGGACTTTCCTGATGTTTCTGCTCAGCGTGTCTGAGGAGCAAATATTCACTTACATCCTTTTTGGGTGACTTACCGAGTGAGGCATTGCCCTCAGTGCTGAGGCCAGCAGGCTGGATCTATTAGTGGTCTCTCCCTCCTTCTAACGGAAGGATCCGCAAGCGAAGAGTCCTCACTCTGCTCTTCCCATTTTTACCCCTCTGTATTAGTCTGCTCATGCTGCTATAACAAAACACCATAGACCAGGTGCCTTAAACAACAGACATTTATTTCTCACAGTTCTGGAGGCTGGGGAGTCCAAGATTGAGGCACTGGCTGATTTGTTTCCTGGTGAGGGCTCTCTTCCTGGTTTGCAGAAAGTCACCTTCTTGCTGTGTCCCCATTTGCCAGAAAAAAATTGATCTTTTTCTCTTCCTCTTCTTAGAAAGCCACTCATCCCATCATGAAGTCCTCACCTCATGACCTCATCTAAATCTAATTACTTCCCAAACGACTCATCTCCGAATATCATCACATTGGGGGTCAGGGCTTCAACATAGGAATTTTTTTGAGAGGGGGAGGCACAGTTTGGCCCACGCCACTTCCTCTCTCTCTCTTCGACTGTGCCTGGCACATAGCAGATGATCAGTAACTATTCGCTGATGGAAGGAAGGGGAGGCTTGAAGGAGGGAGGGAGGGACAGGGCAGAAGCCAAGCTCTCTTGTGGTTAGATCTGTTCTTATCCAACGGCACAGCCTTGTAAAAATCTCATTTTATGTTAGAACTATGGACTGTCAGGGCTGGATTTGATCTATTATTTAGTTCAACCTTCTCCACATCAAACCAGAGGGAGGGAAATTACTTTCTCAAGGTCACACAGCAGGGGCTGAATCCGCGCACCCCCGATGCCTCATCCGTTGCCCTTTGTACGCCGATATGGTTCTTTCTTTTCTTCCCCAGGTTTCTCAGTTTCAGGCCTTATGGCATTTGGGGCTGTTATTCCTTTGCTGAGAGGGGCTGTCCTGTGTATTGTAGGATGTTTGCAGGCCTGGCCTGGACCCACCAGATGCCAGTACCACCCCCATCCAGGTGTTGAAACTAAATTGACTCCAGACTTGGCCAATTGTTTCTTGAAAGGTCACATCGCTCCCAGTTGAGAGCTGCTTTTGTCAGAATATTTTACTCTTTTAAAGTCCCCAAAGGAATAGTCTTCGTCACTCCTGGGTCACTTCTTCCGCTCTAATGCTTAGCTTTGTTCTTTTGTAAGAAGGAATTTGGAAGACCTGACTTGGGAAGCGCCCCTTTGCTGGTGAGCATGGGAAGGTTATACCTCCCGTCTGGGCTGTTCTTCCACCCTCGCCAGCCCTCCAGTCTACAGGAGACTTCAGAGCTTCTCAGAAGACCCTCACTCCCTTGCACTCCTCCTCCCCCCACAGGGCAGCCTGAAGTCCTTCTGTCCCTCAAGGCCCCTCTCATCCACTTTTCTTTTTTTTAAATATATTTTTATTGCTTTCAGAGAGGAAGGGAGAGGGAGAGAGAGAGAGAAGCATCAATGAGAGAGAATCATTGATCGGCCTGACCGGGAATCAAACAGTGACCTCCTGGTTCACGGGTCAATGCTCAGCTGGCTGGCCACTTTTCTTTTGTACTATGCTCCCTGTTGGCTAGCTGGAGAGAATCCCTCCTGCGGGATGACACTCATTCATTCAAGCAACAGCTCTTTATTGAGCAGGCCCATACCAGGTGCTGGGGAGTCAATCCAGTGCATCGTGTGCCCTCTAGACTTGTCCTTCTCTGTCTCTTGGTTTTCAACTTTTCTGATGTACTATACACATTAAATGTTTTCACGGGGGTTTACCCAGAGTTTGACAGAGCCCAAACATGTTTTGTGAGGAAGTATAGCATGTAATATCAGGGAACTCAGAAGCAGTATGTAACTTGTCATCGTCATGAGTGTTGGTGGGAAATGGACAACAGTGGCTTGCTCTGGGTTAAGGCACAGCTGAGACAGCTGTGACTTATTAAGTTTTTCCCTGAAGCTCAAACTATATATAATGCCTCTCTTTTCTCTCCCACTTAAAGAAATACCTCAGTAAGCAGGCAGGCTAGAATGATGTCAGATAACCTTGACTTTGTCCTATCGAATAAGCAAAGTATATTATTATTTCACACTATGATTTTTATCATTAATAAAGCATTCCTTGCAACAGACCTTACAACTTATATGATACCACAATTGGGACCAGTGGTTCTTCTAAGGTTTGGAGAAGTACCTGTTCTTGATTTAATGGTGAGAAGACATTTTCATTGCTCAGTTCCAAAGTAGTACCTAAAATTCTCATAAGAAGTTAAATCTCATGGGATTTCAAATGTGTGAACAATTCGTGTCAATAATTTAAAAATGCACCTGATCATTTATCTCCATTGCCATCCCCAAACAAATGGACCTTTTCTAATGACCAAGTCCAAGTGTCATTCCTCTGTATGTTTTGAAGTCTGTATTTCTATATCAAACAATAAATCACCTGTCCACAGTTCAAATTGAATGTAAAATACAAACTCTGATCATGCAGAAGAGAAAGCACAATATTCTCGGAGCCATCCTCCAGGCTGGGATATGGTCCTATTGCAACCCAGATGCTTATCTCCCCTGAAGACGCCTTTTATGCAAACATGTTCACATAATGATACTCGAATTTTCCAAAATTTATATTGGCCTCCGCCTGAGTCAAATCAGAGAGCTGAACAGTAGCTCTTGCTTTGTCCAGATCAAACAGGAACAAGCCAGCTTGAATTGTATGTCTAAAAAGAATTACTAAATTCAAGGGGGGGGGGGGGAATCAATGCTGGATCCTCATTCTTTTCTTATTTTAGCAGCATTCAATTTTTTTTAAGTAGGTCTTCGGTCATGACTTTGAGTATAACTATGTCCCCTTAAGCAATTGTCAAAAACCTCAAATGGGCGTTGGAACCAATTTAATTTCTGTTTCCCAGCATATCATTCCCCCAAAGTAAATCTAATTTAAAAAGTAACTCTTTGCACACAGGGAAGACACCATTCTGGCAGTAAACACTTTATCTAACAGGATTTAGAAACACATGATGCATCATCCTAAAGGTGAACTGTAAATCTCATCATCTCTTAGGATAATGATTCCAAATGAGTCCGTTTTCTTCATATCCAACTTGACGGCTTAAGATCATTAGTGTCCTCATGTCTGATGTTCTTTTTTAGTTATATTTTCTTTTCTAACCAAAGAATCTACCATGAAAGTGCCATTCATATCTTATTTTCTCACTTGATCCTCATAATAACCTTATGAAGAAAGAAACTGAAACTCAGAGAGGTTAAGGGGAGCCAGTGTGGTGGAGAGGTCAGGGCTCCAGCCTTGGGGTCACCTAATTCTGGGTGTGAATCTTTGCTCTTCTTGGAACTTACTGTGTGACCTTGGGCAAGTGACTTACTTTCTTTTTTTTCTTCTCATCTATAAAATAGGGATAGTGATTGTATCTACCTCCACACGTGATGGTTAAATGAGACAATGCAATAAGATATACAAAAGAAATGCTTGGTCAGTGCCTTGCCCATTATAAATTCTTGGTAAATGTTATCATTTTCTTTTTGTTATCATCATCATCAGCAGCAGCAGCAGCAGCAGCAGCAGCAGCAGCTTTTGTTTATGGTGCTAGTAAGGGAAAAAGCTGAGATTCAAATCCAGGTCTTCTGTCACTGCTTATTTCACTGTTACATGAGATTGCTGAGTTCTGCTTGGTCTACCAAATGCTCCTCTATGCATTTGGAGGGCCCATGGAGACACTCTTTTCTATGCCCTCTTTTCTTTAATAAATGATGTCAACCAGTCAATTGCACAATAATTCCTCCAGGGATTCCGTGATGTTCCATAGGACTTTTGAGTTAGAGAGTGAGATTAATTTTGGAACTTGCAGAATTTGAGGACTTTAGAACATTTTGTTCTTGCCCTGGCCCATTGTGGCTGACAGGCCACATTATGTCCTGATATCACGAAATCGACTTTTAGCAATCATGTGCCCTTGTATCTTTCTTATGAAATGCATCTCTTCTAATAATAACTATATGTCATTATGATCTTCTTCAGCAGGTGTTTATTGAGCACGTGCTATGTGCTCAGTGGAATATGCAATGACCACAATAGACATGGTTAACAATAAGACATGATTTCCCTGCGTGTAATATGTGTGCCATCCAAGATGATATGCATAAGCATTTTTAATAGTTATATAACTATCATACTGTACATTATAATACATATAATAGTCACCAAGTCCATGATTTCAGATATTATTGCTTAGGACACCACTTAAACTAGGTAGTTCCAGGGTAATCCCATTTAACTGGATCATATGAATTATAGGTGCATGTTCAGTTAGTTCATGGGAAATGGCAGACATAGTAAGTTATGGAAGAAATCCGAGACACTCTACAATGAGGGAGCATAGATACAAATTTCTCATTGTGAATCACGTTTTTCATCAAGATTTATTGAAAACATACCAATGAATATTTTATACTCTTTCCTTTGACCCAACGAGCCACAGAATTGAATCTTTATATGTAAAAGGTAGCAGTTTTGGGTGAAATAGCACTCCACTAAGATATAGGAGACTTGAAGCTTGAGTCCTGGACTTGCCTGCTGGTGTAGCTACAGGGCTCTCAAAGAACCTCCTCTCTTTGAACCTTCACCCCATCTTCTTCTTTTTTTAATTTTTATTTAGAGAGAGAGAGAGAGAGAGAGAGAGAGAGAGAGAGAGAGAGAGAGAGAGAGAGAGAGAAACGGGACAAAGAGAGGGAGAGATGCTGGGGGGTGGGGGGTGGGGAGAAAGAGAGAAACATCTATTTTGTTCCACTTATTTGGGCATTCATTGGTTTCTTATTGTACTCTACGACCCTGTGTTGGTCATGGCCCTGCAGGGATCAAACCTGCAACCTTGGTGTATATGGATGATGCTCTAACCAACTAAGCTACCCGGCCAGGGCTCACCCTGTCTTCTGGCTCATGTGCTCCCGAATGCATCCTCTCCCTGCTTCACATGAGAATGAGAGGAAGGGCTTGTCAATTCTTTGCACATAGTAAAAGCACTGGTTACAAATATAAGGCTTTGGTGATACACGTCTTTATATGTTTAAGTCTGTGTTGTTTGCAATTATGATTAAAGGAAAGGTTAATCTGCATGTTTTCCTTTTCCTTTGCATCCAATCTGTTGCATTTTGGCTCGTCACAGGTTGAAGAAAAAAAAGTTTCTGAGAAGACTCTTCAGACCCCACTCTTGCCTTCCCCTGTGGCTGATCACGTGAAGTGTAACATTTTGAAAGCCCAGTTGGAGAATGCTTCCCGAGTGAGTGCCCAGGTGTGTGGAGCGCATGCATTCCTTTGATTTCACACGACAGAAGTTCCTCCAGGACCAAGAGAAGAATGAGGTACTCTAGGACCCTGTGTGGGTCATGGTCCAGCCAGGAGACAGGAGCCACACCTGTCATGTGCAGAGAGATTTTAATATAAGGAGTTATTAACTGGTTACAGTTATTAATCGGGTAAGTGAATCGGCCAGTTCCATAGGTCGTGACGGGTATGAGGGCCGCAGACGGCTGCATCTCCCATTGCCTTCTAGCGTGCGTCCAGCTGGCATGGCTGTCTGGGCGGGTGTCTTTCCTCCCCCACTGTTCTTGGTGGGATTCACCAGAGGGAGGGGGACAAAGCTTCTATCAAAATCATCTGACACAGTTCCTCCCAGGCTGTTATGCTTATGTGAAAGAACAGATCCCAAAATGCTTTATGAGCTGTTAAGTGCTGCGTGGTTATAGAGCCGATTGTTATTCCTGATCTAAAATGCGAGGTGGGGGTTCAACTGTGGGTGTGGCTTTTTGCACACCATCCTTTTCTCATTCAAGCATGAGCTGGCGCTTAGCAGGTGCTCAATAAACAAGCATTGATTGCTTTTGAATGATGAGGCGTTAATCCCCATGATGGGGAATGACTCAAGAAGACATTTTTTTGTTGTTGTTAACTTACATAAACACCAGAGAATATTTGTTATTGACTGAGTACTTGATGAACTACCTCCTCGATCCACCTTCACATTTCTATAATCCAGTGAGTGTAGGAGACTCGAGAACAGGTTCACATGCCAAGACATTCACCTGCCTGTTTTCTTTCACAGGCTGGAAAGGAGGAATCAACGTTTGTAAATATCAATAAGAAATCCAGTCTTCAGGACGCTAATGTAAGGTCTGTTGCTTCTGCGTTTGAATGGGGAAACAATATTCTCTGTATCACCAACATGATCCTGAAAACATTACTCATGAGGGTTTTGCTAACAAAATCAGAGAGAGAGAAAAAAAAAAGAAAATCAGAGAGGAAGAAGAAAACTGGGTGAATGGGAGCCTGGCGAGATAGGAAAAAAGAAAAAAGACTGTTTTACACAACTTCATTTGAGCCTCAAAAATGCTGCTCATCCCCAGTTTTAATATTGCTACCTGCGGTGCTAAGAGAGAAATCTCTTCGAGTTGCTTCTCAAGTGTAGAGATCTGACCTTGTCATTCCCCTTAAAGACTCCACTTGGCTCTCAGGGTGTGATCCAGACTCGACCACTGCAAAAATGCCTGAAAGCCTTCCCCTAAAATTGCTGTTTTGAATGGGGCCTATTGGTTATCTGGCATATTTTATTGAGGAAAGGTAAAAGTGAAATTTAATTTTTACCATGTTTACATATGCATTTGAATTAAAATGTTTTAGAGCAAGTCTTAACGGTATTCTGATTATGCATCTTTCACATTAACTACTCTACGGTTCTTTATCTTTAAATACATATATTCCATAATATGGCTACAAGATTACTTGGAAGTCAGTAAAAATCGGTTATCCACAGGTTTCTCTTTACTCATTTTACTAGTAAATCCTGGTAATGCATCAAACCCTGATATTGGGGATGGGTGTTTTGGGCAGGGAAATTTTATGTGGTACCCCAATTACGTTCAGTTCTTACTTGCTATATTTTCTTTATTAGGATATTTTTTTGTTTTTGGATTTTCTATGGCATATTTTAAAAAATTGTATTTAATTAGTAGAGTGGAGGGGAGAAAAAAATGATTATCTTAACTATTATTTTTATTAAGGCAGAAATTAACAGAAAGCAATCCCCCTACAGCCAAAACAAGGCCATACAAATTTTTGTTGGGGCTGTTCTGTTTTGCTTTAGTTTGTTTATTTATTTATTTTTAAATTTTAGTTGACATACCATGCTCTATTAGTTTCAGCTGTGCAGCATAGTGATTTGACATTTATATGCCTTATGAAGTGATCACCACGCTAGGTCTAGTAACCATCACTGTACAAAGGTAGTATGATACTAGTGGCCTGGTGCATGGATTCATGCACATTGAAAGGAAATTAATTGAAAGGTGGCCAGTGGGGCAGGACTGGGTGAGACAGGCCGGACATGCCCTGGAACCAACCTCCTGTGGTCCCTCCCCAGTGTCTGTGGAGTGAGCAGGGTCCCTCCAGCAGGTGGGGTCCCTCAGCCTGGCCTGCAGGGATTGGGCCGAAACCAGCTCTCCAACATCCCCTGAGGGGTCCCAGAGTGGGAGAGGGCACTCTGCAAAGTTGCTGTCATACAGGGTGTGGAATGCAAATGCCAAGTGTGCAGTAAACCAGATTCAGGGCTGACAGTGTCCCAGCAACAACATAACCGCGAGGCCCCCGAGGAATCCGGCTCCCTCCTCTCTGGTTTCGGGGTGCGTCACCCGAGAACCCCTGCTGCCAAGTCACTGCAGCTCAGCAGCTTCTACATTGAGTGTCTGCCCCCTGGTGGTCAGTGCACATCATAGTGACTGGTGGGATGGTGGGAGGGACACTTTGCATATTAGCCTTTTATATATAGAGAGTATTCCCTCTATTGCCTATGGTATACATTGCATCCCCAGGACTTATTTTATAACTGGAAGTTTGTGCCTCTAAATTCCCCTCACCTTTTTGCACATCCCCCCTAAACCCCTCTTTTCTGGCAACCACATTATTCTATGTGTGTATTTTTTTTATTTTTGGTCTGTCTCTAGAAGTCCTATTCCTATACGTGTGGAAACGGCCCAGCCAGCAGTGGAAAAGCCGGAAATCAAGCCTCCCCGAGTGAGGAAGTTAACAAGGCAATACAGTTTGTGAGTTCTTACCGCAAATTTCTCAGATATTACAACAAGGGTGATGCTAAATGTTCAGTCATGAATGCTTCTTAGCCCTTCGCATCAGTCCCAAAGAGCCATCCCCAAAATACAGTTAATTTCCAGGTTAGGTCATAACAAGACCAGACCTTCCTCCCTGAAAACACTACAGAGTTGGCATCTATGTTCATTATAAAATGCTGTGAACAAATTACTACAAAACTTAGTGGCTTAATTAAAACAATCTGTGTGGCCAGTGTGGCTCAGTGGTTGAGTGTCCACCTATGGATCAGGAGGTCAGGGTTTGATTCCCGGTCAGGGCACATGCCTGGGTTTTGGGCTTGATCCCCAGTAGGAGGCATGCAGGAGGCAGCCGATTGATGATTCTCTCTCATCATTGATGCTTCTATCTTTCTCCCTCTCCCTGCCTCTCTGAAATCAATAAAAATATATTTAAAAAACAAAACAACAAAGACCAAACAATCTGGCTTTATTGTCTCCCAGTTTCTATGAGTTGGGAGGCCAGCCAGGGTTTCGCTGGGTCTCCTGGGTCAGGGTCTCTCACAGGCTTTTCGAGGTACCATGGGGAAGAACAAAATGACTTTGATCATTCTCATCTGAGGACTCGCAATTTAGTAGAGGGAAAGGCAGATTACAAATGATTGTAATCCAAAGAATACCGGTGATGCTGTAGTAAGGGTGGCGATGGTCTTCGTAATAGTAGCAGTACTGACCACAATGGCATTTTTCATTTCTTGACCTTGGCTGTGGCACCAGGGCTGGTCAGTGAGCTGCAGGGGGGCCTTCGGGTGCAATGGAGACCTTGTGAGGCCCCTGGAATTAGAAGGGCTCCTGGTGGAGGCCTGGCTAGTTTACTGCTGGAAGCTCTTGGGGAAGTTAGTCTATGATCCTCACTTTCTTCCTCTGTAAAATGGGTGAGAGCATACCTACCTCTGAGGAATTTTGCAAGGGTGGTTAACATGAGTTAATGCGGGTGAACCTCCTAGCCGGTGACCTGGCCACAGGATAAATTAGTCCCCGTTCCTTCCTTCTCAAGGACCTGAAAGCTTCTGAGAAAAAGTCAAGTTTAAGGGGCCCTACCCTGAGTGCACAGCCTAGGACAGGGAGTAAGGCGATCCAGCTCTCAAGCAGCTGTCTCAGGCCTGCCACCTGGTGGAAAGGAGAGGGAGGAGGGCAGACACTTCCCACCTCATTATCCCTTCATAGAAACTTCCGGGCAGTATGAGCAGCTGTATTTCCTAAGAAAGCCCAAACGAGTAAGACTCAGATAATTAACAGCCGTAATGCTCTCTGGGGGACAAATTAAACCTTGAAAAATCTGCTTCCCTGAGGATACGGCTGGCAGGATTAGCCTGGCCTTTTACATTTTGAAATTTAAAATGTTGCTGTCAGCCACTGGGGATGTGTAATCATGTTGGAAACAATGACTGATGCGTGGCCTGGAAGAAGAGAATTTAACCAACTCACCAAATTGCCTCCTTTAAGCCTAGCACGTTTAGAAAGTGACAAGCTGCTTTATCTTCTCCAGAAATGTAACTTAACTGTTTCTTTAAACATAGTGTGAAAGTTTTTAAAAATCCAAGCAAGACAGGAAAGTCCAAAGAAAAGTAACCAATTCCCTAGAATTGCTCCATCAAAAATAATGTTCCCATTTAATGACTTACTTTAGACATTTATCTATGCGTGTCAAAATAGAGGAAAAAGTCATTTCGAAGAAAATAGTGCTGCACATAAAATTTTACTTATTAGAGTGTTGTTTCATGAATTTAATATGAATTTACCTTCAAGCTGAGGTAAAACTGAAAGACTTGATGAACTTTAGATACATGTTTCTTTGCTAAGTTAAGACAAAGGGTTGTTTTTAAAAATTAAGAATTTGGAGTCTTTTTCCATTTGAGGCATTATCCATTTACTTCCTGCTCTGAAAGATGAGCTGTTTTTTAAATGGCTTTTTATGTAAAACTAAATAATAGCTATGCTTTTCAGGTTACAGTTTTTCTAATGAGATAATAAGAAATTTTAATCCCACTCTTCCACTTAACTAGCTGTGTGACTTGGGCAAGTAATTTCAATCACAATACAGGGTGGTTGTGAAAATTAAATGAGCTAATGATGTGACTGATCTGACTTAGTTAGTCAGCAGGAATCCAAACTCATGGTGTCATTAAGTTTCCTGCTTAGTTGTTCACACCCTACCTGTCCTCCCTTTTTTGTAGTAAGTCCCAAGTCCTCCTCTTGAGGCTTCTCCATTCACAGAATGACCTCAGATCCCCAGAGCCCGCCTCAGTCTGTCCCACCCACACCGCAGCCATGTCCCTCGGCCACGTTTCCCACGAGGCCCTCTGCTGTGATGAGGCCATCATGCGGGACCCTACACGGGCCACGCTGGTGCCCGCTGGCCATCACATTGGTGCCCGCTGGTCATGGGTCTTGTATCTACCCTCTTTTGCTCAGCCATCATTTCTTTCTTTTTTTTAAAAAAAATTAATTTTATTTTAGAGAGAGAGGAAGGGAGAGGAATAGAGAAATAGAAACATTGATGAAAGAGAATGCTGCCTCCTGCGCGCCCCCCACCAGGGGTTGGGGGGACTGAGCCTACAACCTGGGTATATGCCCTGACCGGGAATTGAATCGGTGACCTCCTGGCTCATGGGTGGATGCTCAACCACTGAGCCACACCATCCAGGATCAGCCATCATTTCTAAAACACAACCTTATGGCTGGGTGGCTCCCGAAGTGCCACATGGAGAGCCTTAGGCGAAGTCTGTCAGGGTCCCCAAGACTACTGTCACCTTGGGTGACTCGCTGGAGGAGTCACAGAATCCAGAAAAGCTGTTCCCCTCAAAGCGAGGGCCGATTAGAGTGAGAGGATGCAGAGTAAAACAGCAAAGGGAAAAGGTGCATAGAGTGGAGTCCAGCAAGTCCAAGCACAAGCTGCCAGGCGTCCTCTCCAGAGGAGCCCCCTGGGCAGTGCTGAAGTCTCCCAGCAACAGCGTGTGACACACACGTGAAGTGCTGCCAACCAGAGCTCGCTCCAGACTTGGCATCCAGCGTTTGTATTAAGGGTCACTCATGTGACTGACCTTAGCTACCCAGTCTCCAGCGCCCCAGAGGTCAAATCAATACAGTGTGACCCCCAACCCCAGGCATTCATACAAACACAGGCATTCGCCATAAATCACATTGAGAGCAGGCACTGCCTGGCATGGCTTCAGATGTCAGGTACAAAGACGCTCTGATGAGGCAGGGTCTTCCAAGGGCCCAGAGGTCCCCCGGGGCTTGTCAGTGACCAGCGGTTCATTCGGAGCGGGCAGGGTTTGATTGGATTATCCCTGGCCCTCCGATAGCCATTTACTGCTCAGGCAGCAGCCTGATTGGCATTAGGCATTTGGGGCCTTGTGTTAATTTCTCTACGTTTGAGAAAATATTGTCCATACTAAGAATGGGGATGGGTGCTGCGGCTCTGGTCCTGTGCCGGGATGATCCGGCCTGGGGATGAGCCCAGCTGGCACTTGGACTTCCCCACCCTCGTGGTGACGAGGTCCCTAGGTCAACGTCATCCGGCCAGGAAGCAGAACAGGCGCTACCAGGGGCTGCAGGGAGAAAGCTGTGGGGCGTTGTTCAGTGTGTACCGTTACTGCTGGGGCTGATGAAAAAGTTTTGGGCATTGATAGTGGTGATGATTGCACAGCATTGTGAATGTATTTATGCCACGGAATTGTACACTTACAAATAGATAAAATAATATTATGTTATGTATACTCTTCCCTTAAAAAAGTTATTCGAATCCCTCGGCAAGTGACAGAAAATCCAGCCCAGATTAGCTTTGGCAAAAATGTCAGTGTACTGGGTCCTGTTAGCGGGGCCTCTGGTAGAGGGGGACCTCTGTGTAGGGGACCCCCCACCCCCACCCTGGCATCCTCGACCCCCCGCCCGCCCTTCCTCTCCTCCCCACAGCCTGCTTCTTATTGTAATGAGCAGAGCTTCATGTGCTTTTAGCAACCGCAGTGATGAAGACGACCTCCCTCCAGAGCTGGCCGAGGCAGTCGGCGTGACCACCACCACCACCACCACCACCACCACGGCCGCCGCCACCACGCAGGTCTCGGCACCACTGGTGTCCCCCAAGGTCCACAAAGTCAGCTCGCCTCAGAATTCAGAAGGCAAGAGCCCGCTGTCCCCAGGGGCCAAGGTACGGGGAAAAGAAGCCGCTCTTGCCGGGGATTCGGTAGGAATGAAGTGTGCGGCATCCGTGTGCATTTCAGTTTGCATCACCAACGCTTGTAAAAGCTTTGCACTTGTAAAACAACCTCACCACCAAAACATGCTTTTTTTTCTATAACTGTCCCCAAAAGATAGGCTGTGAGAGACAAGTAGTATGCGATAAAACCATGCACACCGTACTGTAAGGGAAATTCAATAAGAGATTTTTGAAGGCAGTTTGGAATTCAGAATATCATCGCTACACAGACTATTCGTTGGAAAGATAGAACGCAAGAAATGGGCTTTCCTCCCACAGCGGAAAATTGGGGGGAGTAAAATGTAGACGTAGCCCCATCGCAAGCCTTATGTCGGAGAGCCTGTGCAAGCAGTGCCCCCATGGGAAATGGTTTTCTGTTCGATGGTTTGAAATGTCAGGGAATTGCCAGCGATGCGAATGGGCCGTGACAAAGGCCTCGCACAACCTTTCTCTCGGTTCCCTTGGAGTGACCCCTAGCTGTGGTCACTTCAGCCTCTGGTCCAAGTGCGGTCGAACCTATTGCTCCCCAAGCAGATGCTGAGCCAGAGGGGGCTTGGCCCGTGGGCCCCTCTGAGGAGCGGCGTGTGCACGGGGTGGGGGCCTGAAGGCAAGGCCAGAGCCCCGGACTGTGGCTGCTTGAAATGAGCTGTCACTCTGCAGCCCTGGTTTCTCCAAGCCTCAGTTTCCTCCTCCTGAAAATGGGACTCATCTCGGCCACCCTGCCCAGCTCCTGGCTAGCTGCGGGTCCAGTGGAGGTTAAAGTGCAAACCGGGTGCCGAGGGCCTCCGCAGCATCGAGGTCACGACTCCTGGTAACATCTAGGTCCCAAGGTCCAGGCCCACATCCTGTGTGACCAACACCAGTCTCTCACTGGGTCCCTGCCCAGGATCGCTGGGGTGCTTTTGCCTTCCTCCACAGAAGCCTGGCTGGACCCCTCAGCCAGGGACCCCCCGGACCACAGCTCCTGCTTTTCTGTAGCTCACCTCCTGGCATCTGCACTGCGTTCTCCTCTGCTGTGCGGAGTCCCTCGTGCTGCGTTGCGTGAAGGGTGGGCACAGGCGCCTATGGTGTATCCCACACCCTGGCTGAAACCAAGTGAAAACATTTGCAAAACAGACAGGAGTTCCGTGGAGATGCGGGCAACATCCTAGCAGAGGCCACAGGCTCCCTCTTCTGGCGGTCTCTGACCTGAGGGTCCTGCTTGTGCCAACTTGGTGGGGCTTATTATTCCACCCCCTAACCACCCACAAAGGGCCTCAAGGTCCCCCACGCTGCTGAGACCCCAGGACAAGAGGAAAAAAAGGTTTTCTCCAGAAACGAGCATGATGGTCAGAGCTACCCCTCTCGCACTGTAAGGATCTTCCTCATTATGGTGCAGATGAATTCAGCTCCTGAGGCCGTGGCCCGCTGGGTCCAGGATGGGGTCTTTGCTCTGTCTGTATACAGCCCGCCCCCCGCCCTGCCCCAAATGCCAGTCAAAGAGCACTCAGCGCCTTTCAGAAACATCGCAGCTTCAAAATCAAAGGCAGGTCTCCAGCCTGCACCTGCTTCTACTCATCAAGGTTTCAGGAAGAAATCAGGGTTTGGTCCTAACATTTTGTTCACTGTCGAGCGAGAGTTGGGGTGGGGGTTGGCTTGATCACAAGGTCGGTATGAGACGGGGAGGAGAGTGGCGGGGACCTCTGTGTTGCCAGCGAAACTCCGCTGTCAGTCCCGCACTGTCACTAACCGAGATGTTTCTGTCGCCTCCGTAGAGCCCCTCTGACCGAGGAGGTGCCTTTACCTTGGAGCCCGGCGACCTCCTGATGGATTTCACAGAAGCCACTCCTCTGGTAAACCTCCCCTTTCGCTAAAACCAGAAAAGCCTGTAGAGACACCTGGGCAGGGGGACAGATGGACAGAGGTGGGCATCGCTGTGGGGAAGGCTCTTCCTGGTGCCGCTCTCAGCCTGGAGGCCTGGGGGTCAGCTTTCCTTGAGGGTGCAGGCGCCACGGGTCTGCCCAGAGTCTGCGAGGGAGGGCTGTGCTCCCTCTCCTCTGAAGATGGCCGCCGGGGTCCCGCCCCCACCTGCCTGCTGCTCCCCCAGCATTGGGGCTCCTTGGTGCTTGGGGCTTGGCTTCCTGGCTTCCTGGGCTGCGCCCCGCATGCCCACCCATGGGGCATCCCCTGTCGCTTAAACAACATGCGCTGGTCTGAAGCACCTGCTCACGTCCTCGCCTGGCTTTCCAGGCCCCTCGTGCCTCCCTGCCATCCTCCATCCGCTACATACAGGTCTCCCCTTGGGGAGGGCAGCCCTCGTGTGGGACTCGTGCAGGCGGGAGAGCGCGGAACAAGAGTCCTGAAGGCCGGGCCTGGCTCCAATCTCTGCTCCCTCCTTAAGAGCCTTGCCGTTGGCTAGCCGCTGCCTCATCCGTCAGATAAGAATGTCATCGTTTGCACTGTCTGCCCTACAGGTGTAAGAAGGATGGAGAGAGAGAGGGAGGGAGAGGGAAGAGAGAGAGAGAGAGAAATTTTCAAGAATGCAAAGCACCATAAGTACATGTAAGATACTACTACTGATATTATTGGAGGACACAGGTAAACTTGGATGTATCTTTGGCTCAGTGTAATATCAGTCACGGTCCACAAATTTGGAAAGTGAGTCAAAATGTGAGGCAAATTAAAAACCGTCTCCTGAGAACTCACTGTGCTCCTGGCCATGTGGAGGCTCGGAGTGGACAGGGCAGCCAGAGGTTGGAGGGGAGGCAGGTTGATAAAGGGCCAAGGTGGACAGGGGAGCCAGGTACAAGATGCACAGAGAGAAGCCAGAAAGGGGAGTCATTCGGGTGTGGCTCGCTGGAGGAGGATTCAGTGGATAGGAGGGATTTCTGGAAGGTTTTCAAATGGGGCACGATGCTGTCCAGGCTTTAGGAATGATCACCACTCCTGCCTCAGCTGGCCCAAGGCAATCCCCTGTGATTTATACCGTTTTACCTCTCACCTGGAGATGGGTACCATCTCAGGGCTTCGAGTCAGCCGCTTTGGATAAACTGCTGAGAACGGACGGTTCTAGGAACCTTCCGAGTTATTCCCCGTGTGCAAGTGAATGGAACCAAGTTATTCCGGGTCTTTTTGTTAGAAAAATTGCCAAGGGAGGGTAACTCAGAAACAGGAGCCTTCGTCATCTCTTTACACAGTTGGGGAAACTGAGTCCCAGCGTGGGGCAATCACACAGGGACTGAGATGGCGCGGGAACCCAAGTGTCCTGACTCCTCCTCCGGTGCTCTTCGCAGCAGACTGGGCTGCATCCGGCGTCTTCTTTAGGGAACTTGCCACCTGGGAGAAGGGCTGTGTTTAAAGCACTCGCCAGACGGGAAAGTTCGCCAAAGGGCCTGGAGCAAAGGGCAGCAGGTTAGGTGACTGGGCCTGGTGCTCCACCAGTACCCCATGAGTACACCCGTTACATCCTGGCGGGCCTCGGTGGCAAGCTGAGGACATCCTGCAGCTGGAGGGCAGCATCCCCCAAAGGACCAGAGAAGCCCTAAGGTGCAGTCTGAAAGCCCATGGAAGCAAAGGGGAGAAAGCAACGTTCCTAGGCTTCACGGGACCAGGGTTTTCAAGTGTGAGTAGGAGTTTGCCACGTGGAGAAAGTAGACCCAAGCATTCTATGCAGAGGACACACCATGAACAGAATACTGAGTATTTATTAAAAAGGCCTGATATTTCTGAGAACTAGGATTAGTTTGTAATACACACACACACACACACACACATATGTATATATATATATATATCTCAATATATCATAGCTTTGATAGGAGTCCTGGGATTCAATTAAGACCATGTTATGGATCCAGCTTGTAGATTGAATTGCCCATCTTTTCTTTCACTATAAGACTGAGGTTAGAAAAGAAGCAGCATCAGGCAGCGACCCAGAGGTTCCATGATATGAGATGCAAATGCCTAACAAGTGACTGTCCAGCCTCTGTCTGTACCCCTCCAGCAGCAGGGAGCTCATTCCTTCTCCCCAGGACACCCAGCTGGCATCTCTGGGGGCTCTTAGCTCTGAACCCGGGGCCAGGGTGCTGTACTGCCCGGGCACAGGACGGCTGAGATCCTTGTACTGCACCGAGACCGGGCTGCCCACTTCATATGAAGTTTGCGGTGAATACGTGCTTTCGGGGTGAAGCATCCTTTGTCTTGCTTGCGTGCATTTGAGGCGTGAGTGCACGTTCACACAGCAGGCAGCCGGAGGGCTGGTATTTTGGCGGGAGCCCACCCATTTGGGCTTTCCTCAGCATCATTGGCTTTGCCCTCACTTCGCTCTAGAGTCCTGTCTTCCGTGGATACCTAGGGTTCCTGAGAGGAAGACGGACTCTGGCAGCCTGCTTCTCCCTCTGTCTGGTCCTCTGCCCTCCATCTGCTCCTCCCAGTGTCATAGTAATGCAAGCAGCAGCCCTCTCTGCCCTCATTATCAGGGTGATGGGGGATCATGTTGTCTGTGACTCGGGACAGCAGAGGAGAGATGGGGCTTAAGGACTGGGGCTGAATGAGACCCCTAAAGCCACATCATGGCCCTGGTTGCTTGGAGAACGGAGGAAAGAAGAGAGCACAGAGCTGCACAGACAGGGAGCTGGAGAGGTGAGGGGGATAGATTATCTTGCCTTCATCTCCCAAGACACTATCAGAGCTGGTCTAACCCTGGTAACTGTCCACCCTCATGACCCAGTCTATGGGAGTGGTTTCCAAAGAAGCATAGTCCAAACAGCCAAGCATAATCAGAAGGTTCAAACTTTGACTGGGATCTCCAAAAAAATTCAAGGTTAAACTCCCACCTGGTAACACTTCTTGCGTCTCTTTGCTGCCCTCTTACCTCTCTTGCCCCCTGCCCACCTGCAAGGACTTTCACCCCCAAGCTCTTCACAAAAACATTCTTTCCAGCTTCACTCTTGCAGCATTTTCCCCAAACCTCTTCTTCTCTCATTCCCAACTCCTTGATGGTGTAGCTCGATTTAGCAATCGAAGTCCCACCACCTCTGCAGCTCGTTGTCTGCCCAGTCCCCGAATCGGCACCACAGACTTCATAACCGGATCAGTTTCTGCCTGAGATGGAAGAGGTGGGGTGGGGTGGGAGGGGAGAGAAGGCAGTGAGTGAAGACAGCACCCACTCTCCATCTGCTGTTCTCTGCAGGGGTGTGAGTGTGAGCAGTGCGCAGAGGATGCTGGTGTTAAGAGAATGAGGGAGATTGGAAGGAGGATGGATGCTTTCTCTTTGGGGTTTGTCCCTCTTTGATCCCCGTTATTTCATAAACCACTCACCCAACTGCAAAGCAGAGCCGGTCACAACCCAGGCCTCTTCCAGGTCAGGGATGGTTGGTCAGGGAGGAGGCGGGTCTAGCCAGAGGAAGGCTGTGCTGGGCACAGAATGGCTGGGTTTCCATTTGTCTCATAACTTAGTTTTTATTTTGAGCCTCATTCTATCATGAGGGCTAAAGCTTCACCCCAAATCAAATCAGGGTACCTCTTCAGTCCCCCTGTGTTCTCCAGGGCATGGAGAGAGGGAGGGCGTCATCTAGTTTGTGATGTCATCGCTTGCCCATACATCGGGGCCCTCTGCTTCCCTCAGGCGGAGAGTGGAATGCCAATCACTGTCCTGCTGGGGTATGCATCCCGATCTGCTGGACACACCACATAGCCCTGCTATTCTGGGACCTGCCACCTCCTGGCTCTCCCTGAGCAGAGGGACACGGGTCCTCTCTGGCTTTAATCCCCATTCCCCAGCCTCAGCCCACGGATTGGGGCACAGGCCCCTTTGCTCAGTGCTCCCTAATGTCCAGCCCTCCTCCCTCCCCTTCTGACTTTCTCCTCTGTCCTCAGACGGGCAATCTCCTTATCTGGATGATGAAGCCTCATGCATTTGCATTGTCATTGTCCAGGCTGAAATCTTTCCCAAAGAGTCGGATTTTGAAACGCAGAAGCCAAGTAGAATCTAGCTGCCCGAATGTGGGCAAGACCCAAGGAGCAAAGGAAATACGAGGCCGAGAAAATAGAATGGCCTTTCAGAAGAGTGTCCTGTTACATGTTATCTCACTTCCTGCTCAGTTCCTAGAGTCAAGCGTGCGGGAGCCGCAGGAATGTTCTTTTGTCTCAGATGCCTGTTTAGAAAGGTCAGAGGTGCTTTTGGGATCAACATTTCTTGAGCATAAACAGTCCAATGCTGGGCAAAGCCTTAAGTCACGATGATAACCTTCAATTCAAACACTGGCGGGCTGTACCCATGTTGGCTCCTAGGCAGGGCATCCACGATTCTTGGTCATTTAGGCCAATTGTTATTTTCTTCAAAGAGCACACATTGAGCCTGCTGGTACCTGTAAAGGCAAGGGCCCCGTGGCCTGGGGTCCCTGGTGTAGTGGTTCTGGCTGGGGCTTTGATGCCTGGGACGGGTGGGGACTGAGCCTGAGGGCAGACGGGAGCCAGCTTCATGCAGGCCACGGATACTGTCAGACGGACGGATGTAGGATTTATACTGAGGACCAGAGAGAACAGTGGGCCAGGGGGTGGCGGGGGCGGGGAGGTTAAACTTAACTGCAGGTGACTCATATGGACTCACTTGTTTCTGAAGAATAGCTTTAGAACCACCAGGAAGGGGTCTAGACCCGTGGATTTAGACTTTGCAAATGCCATTTCTGCACATCCCAGATTTGAAGAGTACAACATGGCTGCCGTGAAGGCCGCCGTGAAGGCCACCGTGAGATAACGGTTGTAAAAGCCCCCGGAGACCGTCCTGGGCTGCACGTGGTAGAGGATGAAGTTAGGTCCGTGTGGAGACAGGAAAGAGGCCTGCAGTTTTCTTGACCAGCTTTCAGTGAGGCTTACCCAGCGGCTGTACTGTATTCATTATGGCAGGATCAGACCAACTACGTAAGGAGACTCTCTGGAGTGACAAGATGCCCGTGTTTATTCTCTGGAGCGAATGGTCCCTCCCTGAAACCCAAGCGAACCCCGTCAGCGGTCCCCGCCCCTGACATCAGAGCATTCTCTCTTCACCATCCTCATTTCACCAGTACACGCTGCTGGACCTCTGCCGGGCGCATGGCACAATTTAGGGCTGGGGCGGGGAACCTGGTATCCCAAGTGACATGGCATTTTCTCACAATGCTTGGCATCTTCCAGCTAAGCAGCAGGGTACCCCAGTGCCCATACAAGCTGCCAAGGCCTGGGCCCATGGGTGTGGGAGGGGGGAAGGCCAGTATGTTTTCTGCACAGATAGAGAGAGATGACAGGTTCAGCCCTAAACTCTGCGTTCCTCCTCGCCGCCGACATCTCTCTTTCCTGGGGCACTCTGCTGGGCATCTGCTCACCGATTCAGCATAAGGTGGACCCTTGTTTCGCAGAGTGGAGGAGGCCACAGGCATGGAAGGTGGTCGCTCCCATGTGTGTGGCCACCCCTCCTAGTGCCCCCACGCCGACATCACTCACTCACAGCTTTCTGGCTTGGCCTGGGCAATGCTTCAGAATCCTCAACAGCGTGCCAGGAAGACACTGCCAGTCCCGTGCAGTTGGCACAGGAGACGGCCCCTACCCACCCTCACCGGGTTGGGGTTTTGAGGTGGAATTCTGCTCAGATGGTGGAGGAGACAGATGCGGGCCAGAGAGGAGAGAAGGCGGAGAGAGGAGGGCAGCGGGAGGGACTAGCCTCCAGTTGGCCAGAGGCTGGAAGTAGGCTGCGGGTGAGACTGGCTTGAGAGCAGGAGTTGACAGATCCGTCTTGCACTGTGCTATCTTTCTCTCCTTCCCTCTCCCTTATCTCCTCTTCCTCCTCCCCATCTCTCACCACCTCCTCCTCCCCTTCTCTCCTCTCCTTGTGAGCAGGCAGAGCCCGCCAGCGCCCCCCACTGTGCCCACTCTCGCTGCTCTCCTCCACTCTCTCTCCCCATGAAGGAAGAGACCACTGGAGTTTGCATGCACCCTCCAATCAAAACGAGGCTGGTAGGTACCCAGCAGGGAGAGGGGCCTGGCCAGGAGAGGCGAGGCGGGCAGGAGCCACCAGGCGGCGGCCGCAGGGGTGTGCAGGAGCCTCAGACCCCCCAAGGAGGCCGGCTGACAGGTGCTCTCGTTCCAGGATGGACACAAAGTTTGGAGACCAGCTGGCTCTGGTCAAACTGGGACACAGGGCTGTGGTCCTGGCCCTTCGTCACTAGAACCAGGTCTCCAGAACGAGGAAGCTTGTTATCCTAGAGCTTCAATGAGCACAGATGCTTTTCCCAGAGAGGAAATTCTTAGTTGCATTTCTACTGAAAATAAAAGCTTTTTAAAACGTGTCTTTCTTGCTACTTATCAAGATAACATGAATATTACATAATGACTTGAAAGGAATCGCCCATAACCCCAGCCTAGCACGTTGTTGTTTTTTTCATTTTTGCATGTTTCCTGCTAATTTGTATTCATATTTTTACAGAGTTAAAGCATACCCATGCCATCTTCTGTTTTTCACTTAAGGTTGTGTTCTTTCTACCTTGTCCTTGTTACCACATTCTCTGTGACCGTTTATATGCCCCTAGGTGAGTGGTCCACCATTTACCTCACCGGTTCTCTACCACAGGGCGCGGGTTTGGTTCCCAGTGTGTCACTCACTTTCCCAGGGAACACACGTAGGCTCTGGCATCAGGCATTTTATTTTCTCAGGCTAGACCCTGCTAGGTCCAAGTGACAGCACCGTCAGGAGACTATGCTTGGCCACGGAGCACAGCTGCTGGAATATATATTTTCTTATTTAGAGCAGGTACAACATAATTCTTTGGAGTTGCCAACATTCACATTCCTTTCATAGCAACAATCAACCTCTCTCCCTTTCTACTCCATGCTGGTCTGAGAGTCTCACCTGTACGTTACCTTTCATTTGGCTGTTGGTCTCAGAACACCACGTGGAGCCACTAGGTCACACAAGGAGCATGCACCACATGGCACTGGCCCTAGTCCCAGTCTTGCTGGGCTGCAGGCAGCCGCCACCAGCAGTCTGAGTTGGCACCTGAGTCTTAAGGCAAAGCGTGGGGTCCATGCTGGGAATTTGGAGATGTTTAAAGAGGCGGAAGAGAAGTTGGGGGAGGGAAGCAGACTTGGACTGGACCTCTCTCTGACTATTGCAAGGACATTATCATTCCCAGATCACTTAGATTGAGACCTATCCCACCCATTCAGAAACCTCAGCAAATTTGGGTCTGGTTGATGTGAACTTGCTCATTCCTACTTTACTCCCCATTAAAGTGACTCAAGGGCACCAAGGAACTGTCCCAGGTTCCATAGGCAAGACCCTGAGGGACACGAAGGCTGCTTCCAATGGGCAGCTGTCTCGGCTGCAACCCTCTGGGGGGGGGTGTTGGGGGGTGCAGAGTGTGCATTCCCAGCAGGTGTGCAGGCAGTTTCTGTGCCCTGGGGCTTCAAGACAAAGCTAGTGCCAGAGCCACCCGGCCCCTGGGCATGCGGGCAGTTCTCTAGGGCGGCTCCCCCCCAAGCCCCAAGGATCCAGGAGGCCAAAGACGTAATGACCAGACAAAAAACAGAAGCAAAGTCTCTTTCTGGCCACCCATCACTGCCTGGTCAGGTGGCGCACCCCCCTCTCTCAGACCAGCCCTGCGCTGCAGCCACCCCTGGAACTGGGCCCTTTTGATCGTCATGCCTTCTGTTTCTAAAGGCCACGGTGGCAGGATTCTCACAGGCTCATGTGGGTTCCTTTGTGGCCCAGAGTGTACAGGGAGTTCAACAACTAACGTGAGCAGATAGGGAGTGCTTTCTGGCCTAATTGGTCCAGCTCTGGACTAATGTGTGATCTTGGGTAAGTCACTCCTGTGCCCACCGTCATAGACTGTGTCTTAAAATGTGGCCTCTCAGCTTCTCTAGTCCTTTCCCTGCAGCCACCCAGGCAGCCCCGGCCTGCCTCAGGTGCACCTGGCCAGTGGGTCAGGCGAGGGATAGGGCCCAGCCTGCCTGGGAGGCCCCAGCAGACCCCAGTGAAGGGGGTTCCAGGGTGAGGTAAGCCTGGGGTGCCCCCCAAACATGAGACTACAACAAGGGGCGCAGATTAAAACCACTGGCCACACTCCTGCGGGGCCTCTGTGTGTTTCCCTACACAAGCAATGAAGGCTGGGCGTGTGTGCCCTCGAATCCTTCAGTTCGATCTAAAAAGCACACCGCCAAAGGTGGCAAAACATTGTTTTCTAATCTGAAAGTAACACTTGTTTTCTCTCTTTTTTGAAGATAAAAACATTCCCGGTTGATCCAGTGACCTCGTTTCCCGAGCCTTTCATTGCAGGGCCGCAGTTTACCGTAAGTAGCTTAATCCAGAGAACCCGTCTACACTCAAAGGCATTGTTCCCACGTGGCATGCTGTGCTGTGGGACGCCAGGAGCCGTGCCAACAGCTGCCTTTGATCACTGTCAACTCTGACTTTGGAAGGAGCTAGGGTCTGGGGGGGTGGGGGGGGTCCCATCTTTTAGTTAGGAATTACCTAGATCCAATCTGTGGGAGGAGGAGAGGGTGCGGGCATACTTGATCTGATCACAAACATAAAATTAACCATTTTAAAAATATGTTTTTATTAATTTTTAGAGGGAGAGGAAGGGAGGGAGAGAGAAACATTGATAAGAGAGAAACCTCATCAATCGGCTGCCTCCTGCATGTCCCTTACGGGGGATGGAGCCTGCAACCCGGGCATGTATCCTGATGGGGAATCAAACCAGTGACCAACCACTTAGCCACACCGGCTGGGCTAAAATTAACCATTTTAAAGTGACAACTCAGTGAAAGTACATTTAGAACCGTGCAACTGCCACCATTATCTAGTTCCAAAACATTTTTATCACCCCCAAAGGAAACCTCATACTCACTAAACAGTCACTCCCCATTTCCTGTCTCCCTCTGGCCCCTCATAGCCACCAATCTGCATTCCTTCTCTATGGAATTCCCTAGTTTGGATATTTCATATCAAAGGAATCATATGACCTTTTGTGTCTGGTTTCTTTCACTCAGTATGTTTTTGAGGCTCGTGCACATTGTAGCACGTGTCAGTACTTCATTTCTGTTTATGGAGGAACAATATGCCATTGTGCGTACATGCTGCAGTTTGTTGATCCTTTTATTCATTGATGGGTATTGGGGTTGTTTCCACCTTTTGGCTATTATAAATCATGATGCCCTGAACATGTGTAGACATGGCATTTTGTTTGAGTTCCGGTTTTTTATTCTTTTGAGTTGGATCTGCATCTTGATAATAGTGTGATTTTAGATACGTCACTTGACCACTCTGAACACCAGTCTCCTCTTATTTAAAGCAGACCCAGTAATAAGAATATCCTCCCTGTATCCGGTTGTGGCTAGAATCAAAAGGGATGAAGAACTTGAAAATACTTTACTGGCCACAGACCATCCCACAAATGTCAAGTGTGATTGTTGTTTCTCAAGGCTGGAGAGGCGGGTGGTGTAATTAACAAGAGCCAGGACTTGTGACAACTGGCTTCCAGCCATCACCTCTCTCTGTGTTGCTGGGCAACTTCTACTCGCTGCCAACGGTTAAAATGCTTTTTAACATTTAAGTGTTGTAGTTTCCTCATCTGCAGAATGAGAGGGTCTGATAATTTCCAAGTTTCTTTTCAGTTGCTCAGTTCTTTTCTTTAAATGAAAACGGCTGCAGGAGCTCACTATATCATGGGCAGCTGTCCAGAGCACAAACGGGGAGTCCAGGGTCCCTCCTCTTTTGCTGTCACCCCCTCCTCCCAGGGATCAGATCTAGGTAATTCCTAGAACCAAGTGATTCCTGAGCCTCCTTCCAAAGGGTTTCTGGCCCCTCTGGGGGATCTGTGAGGTGGGCTGTAGTGACCCTGGGGTAGCTCCAAGTGCAGTCTCATGAGCTGGATGATGGTCACTACTTGAGGTAGTTTGAGTCACATGGAGAGGGAAGGTGTACACAGTCCAGGCAAAGGCAAAAACAGGCTCCCAGAACATCCATTTCTAGGATCATGAGCTGTTGCCAGCGCCTGCCTTTTAAGAACGAGAGGACAGAGACACAGGGGCTGGGCCAGGCTGTTAAATATTATTACTCCGACGTTCATCCTACCCCTGCAGTTTTGCTAGGCACAGTTCCCCAGCTGGAAACTCTGGCTCCTCTTCCCTCAGCTGGCCATAATGGGCACTCTGGCCTCCTTCCCAGCCTTGGCAGTGCCATGAGACACCCAGGGAAGCCCTTCCTGAAAAGCTGGGGGCCAAGACAGAGCAGGAAACCAATGTCAGAAACCACGCTGGGACTTTTAAGAACTGGGCAAGAGTGGCTTGAAGGCAGCTGGAGGAGGCAGAGGGAACAGCATGAACATGGGGCAAAAGGGATCATCCCATGTTCAAGGGACTGAAATGAAAGCAAGAAGAACTAAAATGCAGAGAGCAAGGGAGTGGGGCATGAGAAGAGGAAGGGGAGGAAGGAATAAACACTCAAGGGGCAAAAACATGCTTCATTTAACAAATATTAAAAAGATGAGTACTCAGGGTTGAGATTTAATAATATTAGTAAATTTTGCTGCTCCCCAAGGTCATTCTTAAGTGAAGCTAGCTTTTTTTCTTTCTACGTGGAGTGCATGGCATTGAAGAATATAATGGCTGCTACTATAGTTTGGTGCCACTGCCTTGATTCATGCTAGCACTTTCACCCAACATTGCCTTTGTGCCATATTTCCCCCTTTTCCAAGAGAGTATAAAAAGTGACATTAAAAGCTCAACCTCCACCTAGATCACTAAAACAAAACAACTTTTTACTCCAGCTCCAGTATCAGGATGAGCTAAGTCATGCTTGAAAATGACAAACTGAATTTCCTGCTCATGCTGTATGTCCATCATGGATGGGCTGAGGGTGTCATCCTCTTTCTGGGACCCAGGCTAATGGAGCAGCTGCCACCTAGAACATTGCTAGTCACAGTGGCAGAAGGGAAAAAAGAGGCAATAAATTGCACACTGGCTCTTAAATCTTTCAAAGGAAACAAAATATGGCACCTCAACTCACATTTCCTTGGCCAAAGAAAAGCATGTGGCCATGCCTAACTTAAAAAAAAAATATATATATATATATATATATTATTGATTTTAGAGAGGAAGGGAGAAGGAAAAAGAGATGGAAACATCGATGAGAGAGAAACACTGATCAGCTGCCTCTGGCACACTCCCTACTGGGGATCTAGCCCAAAACCCAGGCATGTGTCCTAAAAAGAATCAAACCATGACCTCCTGGTTCATGGGTCTATGCTCAACTATTGAGCCACACTAGCCTGGAGGCCATGCCTACCTTTAAAGAGGGTTGGGAAGAGCAGCCCTACCAGGGGCCTGGAAAGAGATGAGCCAGAATTATCTGGTGGACCACACATATGATGACTACAGCCCAACATTTGTGCAAGCTCTTTGTGGCAAACACTACATGCTGGAAAATGTCTGATGCTCCCTTCTTCATGGTCAATTCTTCGGCATTGCTCCATTCCAGGCCAGGTCAGTTTTCCCTCTGGAGACAGGTGTAAAACAAAAAGGAGCTTGTGATTTTCAGCAATAGCCTCTCATGACCTCTCAAAGATAAGCCTCTCCCCATTGCTCAAGCCAAATATATCCTTACAGAACAGTAGCTATACTTGGGTTTTTTTTTAGAGATTTTTCATGTTTTCCTAGAAGGGATAAGTTATCTTCTGTCTAAATGTAGTGCTCATTTGATGGTCAATGCCTCTTCTTTAGAAAGCCAGGAAATAGTGTGAAAAATCAAGTTATAAGATATGAAGCTGGCATTATCTAAAGGATATAAAACAAGCAAAAAGCATGCACAGAAAAAATACAATGAGGATGTATACTGACAACAACAGTAAAGGATTATGGAATTTCTTCATTTATTTGCTTTTATATGTCTCCTAAGTTTTCTATATAAAAGTAATAAGCATATCATGCCTTTTAAGGCAAACAAAAACAACCAGTTATTTTCTGCAAATGAGGCAATATTCTCTAGACCAGTAGTTTTCAAACGTTCCCTGGTTTCAGAATTATCTAGAGGCCTTGTGAAAACACGGACTGCTGGACTTCCCCAGACATTCTGGTTCCAGAGGTCTTTGGTGGGGCCTGAGAACTTGCATTTTTACCAAGTTTCAAGATAACACTGATGCTGCCAGTTTGGCGACCATACTTTAGAACCATTGCTATGGTGGTGGAAGCCACCAGTTATGGAGCCAGATCACCCTGGTTCTAAATACTGGTTCTTAACACACCCTGTGTGACCTTGGGAAGATTCTTGACCTCTCTGGAGCCTCACTTTCCTTTTCCATAAAATCAGTTCTAAGATGCACATTTTTTTTTCACCTTTTAACATCTCTGAAATAAAAAACTCATTACAATGGGGGGTGGGACCAAGTTTGATTGGTCACATTTTTCTTTCTCGGTGGTGGCACATGGAAAAATGGTGCATCTTACAATGATGGGGTCTAAGATGTGATGAAATATGATCTCCACCTTACAGCATTGTCCAGAGGCAATGTGTGTCAAGTACTTCGCATAGTGTCTGGCACAAAGTAAAATCATTTAATGACAATTGAGTTTAGCTGTTATCAAAAAGTAACAGGAATTGCATGGTATGGCTTAGGGAGCAGCTGACAGAGTGCAGGGAAACCTAGACTGAGATGGCTTTCCTCGTTCCTGTTTCCTCTCCAGGCAGACTTTAGAGACAGTAAATTACAGTGCTGCCCTGGCCAGTCTTCCCCGCTGATCCCAGCCGTGACCCTGAGGCCTTTGACAGAGACCATCTCCACAGTGCAGACCATCTACACCACTCGGAAGCCTGTTTCTCTGGCAGCCAGGTGGGTGAGGGAAACCAGGCACACGCCTTAGGTTCACTGTGTTTGTGACGTCTACAACCCAGTCATTCATGCTTTCATTCATTTTTTTCTGGGTTTATTGACATGCCTTCAAAGGCTAGACAGTACTTGAGGTGCTAAGGATGTACAGTGAACAAAGTAGGTAAAAGTCCAACCTTTACAAAGTTTGCAATTTAGTGTTGGGGAAGAGGAGACAGACATTAAATGAGCGTGTGTGTGAGTGTGTGTGTGTGTGTGTGTGTGTGTGTGTGTGTGTACAGTGGAGACAGATTCCATAGATAGGCAACTGGGCCTGAGGGCCAGGAAGTTAGAAGCTATCTCTAAAAGCAGCCAATTTTAATTCATTTTTACTTATTAAAACATAGGAGGGAATTGTAGGAGAAAGTGCAATACGAGACTAATTGAAAGCTTTATTTAAAGAAACCTAGCCCCTGGACATCTTCCCAGTCGCTCAAAGGACCATTCCTGAGAGGCTGCTGTGCACCAGCGCCTGTGCTAGGCTCTGGGGGTTCAGAGATGAATGACGTATATACAGTCTGTCCCCTGAGGAACTCTCAGCCTGGAGGGGGAAGCCAATAGGTAGCCAGACAATTTCAGGTCATTGTCATGCTAGGAAATGTAGGGGGCCCTGAAGGAGCCTGTCAGAGAAAGTCAAGAACTACGACCAAGAACAAATCTGGCGACAACTTCAGCAAGTCTGCTCTTGTGATTTTTGAGGCTTTATCTTACTGTTTTGTCACCTACTCTCTTTTTCAGTGCAGAGACGCTCCGGCAGGAACTGGAGAGAGAGAAAATGATGAAAAGACTGTTGATGACCGAACTGTGACTTCTCCCCTCGCTGCCTGGAGGACGGCATGGTGCCTTCTGTCATTTTCCTTCTTCGGGCTTTGTGTGCTCACTCTAGCACAACATGCAAATGTGTGCTCTGCCTGCCCAGGTCCCCATGGTTAGTTGAAGCCAACATCTGGCTTGACTTTTATTGGAAAAGTTATTTAATGTCTCCTGAGTATTAGAGTTTTTCTTCTACTCAATGTAGTGGAGACAGGATTTGTAAGTCTTGGCGAAAAAAAAAATGGAAAAATGGGGATTCCTTTTCAGAAGTACCTGTGTGTATTCATTGATAACCACAGGGGTTACTAAGGCGCAGAATCCTTTGCTATCAATCTCAATCATGTGATTTTGTAAGATTGAAACTTACACCAAGCTTTGACTGTTTGCTAAAGAGTCATTTTTAATGAGAGAATAATTCTTTATTGCTGGTTTTTCATTTACACTGGTAAATACACAGATCTTTTAAAGTCTTTAACATTCATTTTTATTCAGACACGAGTAGGTGAACTAAAACGGAAAGTTGCAATCACCAGGACTCGAGGTACTTCAGCTTAATCTGAAACATAATTTCACTTGTGACTTTGTTAAATACGATATTATTTGGGATACACAGAATTTATGATCGGACCCAAAGTAGGAAATTATAGCTTAAATTCTAAAAATCCTTACAAGATTAAGGTGATTCATTATCAGGATTCACTGGGGGTGTTCCATAAAAGAGAATTATTTCTAAAGTTGATCAATTCCTATCCTATTGCTAGAACCTTGACCAGAAGAAACTCTGCTCTCTTTTTGTAAGTTTCCAGAAATGTGTTTTTAAATTTTTATTATGCACTTGAACAACTTTGCAGGAATAAAGGAACCCCCTAGCCACAAACTAGCCCTCCAAATTGTTTCCCAAGCTTTCTCAATGAATATGCACACCTTTTTTACAGTGGTAGGATCGGTGTGTACACACTCTTTGGTTGTACTTCTCCGCCTAACACATAACTTCTCTTTTCAATACAGATCCTGCTCTCACCCATTTAAATGTCTTTATATCCTTATAACATGGTTAACCTCACTGCTCCCCATTATTAGATATTTGAGTTATATCCAAGTTTTCACTCTTATAAATAGTGCTGCTATGAATGTCTTTGTAAAAAAATTACCCTTCCTTTGGATTCTCCCCCCGGGAATATCTCCAAAGAGGGATTGTGAGGTCAAAGAGCATGAAGTATTGTATAACTCTTACTTTATTGCCAGATTGCTTTCTAGAAAGATCCAATCTTTGGGTTGGAAGGACCGTAAAGGTCAACCCCCTCAATCCCCTCTGAATGCTTGAACTCCTACAATTTATGATGCCACCAGCAATGTATAAGCATTTCTATTTACCAGTAGCTCTGCCAGTATTGGGTTTTGCCATTTTAATTTATTTTTGCTTGTTTAATAGGTGTGTACAGTTGTCCTTGAAAGGTTGTTTTATTTCATTAATTGCTAGCAAGGCCGAGCACTTTTCCATGTGATGATTTACTAGCTATATTTCCCTGTGTGTAAAATGTCCATCCATTTCTTAAGACCGCTTGTTAAGTGGAACTGATCTCATATATTTGTATCAGAACTGTATTTTTATGTTGTGTTGTATAGTTTGCTCTCCTGTCCCTGTACTTAAAACTGAATGGTGCCAATAATTTGATACTAATGATTATTTAAAAAGAGCAATGCCTCATTTACTAACATTGTTGTAAAAGGAGGCATGTAAGCAAATATTCAGATCACAGAGGATTAACCCCTGAAGTGCTGAATCTTTAAAATATTAATATTTTTTGAGGGAAATCTTTCTAAGCTGTATTACAACTTCCCTGCCTTAGTAAACAGAGTATACCGGAGAGTATTTCACCTTTTCTCGATGAGTCATGGTCATCATTGTAAACATCAGCCCCTTTTGGACTTGGCGTGGTGCAGTAATGTCATTAGAAGCTATCAGGACGTGTGGGGCTTGGCTTTGCCTTTCACAGGCTGTTGTGCTCATCTCATTGATGGCTTCTGCTGTCTGCTCTGCTGGTGAAGCCATCTGGGGCAATTGGGGTATTTGGGACCTTTTAATCCCTGTACTACACAACCCCTGGCTGTACCTTTAAAACAGCTTTCGCCGTTCTTTATCTCGTGCACACGATGATGCCAAATGTGTTTCTGTACAATATGGGGAGCTCTCTGTGTCTGGGCTCGTCAGCTCTTGCCAATCCAGCACCTAAGCTGTTAGCTTTCTGAGTCTTCTGCTCTTCACCTCCTGCTCTCTGATGGGAACCTCCCGGGCAAAACAGGAAGTTCTCTTGCGGAGGCCAGGAACCCCAGTGTCACATGGTGTCAGGTTGGCTCTGCTGCCGCGGAGGGATGCATGGGCTTTCCGGCCGCTGTTTTCAGGAGCCTCTGAGTCTCCTGCTTCTTCCTCCCCGCGTCCCCCTGGGTTCACAGATGTTTCAGAAGGTGGATGTCACAGATGTCTCAGAAGTCGGGTCACAAACTCGTTGGCTTCTACTGTGTATGAAAACCCAGTACCTTTGGCAGCTCAACTCTAATCAGTAAAATCAAGAGGATTCCATTGTTTCAGCAGTTGTCCTGGTTATTTGCCTACGTAAATGTACGACGGGTGCTTGGCATTGGGAGCTGAGCAGAAGACATTGGCTTGAGTGGATTTACAGGGGTAAAAGTGAATTGGTACAGTCACTTCATCTGTTTTAAATACTTAAAACCAAAACAATGGTATCATATGGTCATACAACACACATGTTATGTCCAGGGTGGGCAATCAGCACACACATGTTATGTCCAGGGTGGGCAATCAGCAACACACACATTATATCCAGGGTGGGGAAGTCAGCTTGCTGACATAATCACTCCCGGCCTCCAGAGTGTTGGCCACTGACTCCTGATGGGCATGGGGGTGAGTGCCAGGGGCCTGGGAAGCTGGCGACCCACAGGGTATGTGGACTGTAGACTGTGTAGGAGCATCTTTCTTAGGTTTGAAGAATTTTAAAACTAGGTCTTGGAGCATTCAAAAGATCCCACCTGAATGCACCCCAAATTTCATATTCCCCAAATAGCACAGGAATATTCTAATATCTTTACCTTTCTTTCACCATCTCAAAGATCACTATTTTTTTTAAAAAAATTCGACATTCCATTACCATTTTAAAGTGTACAAATTCAGTGGTTTTTAGTATATTTGCAACGTTGTGCCAACATCACCACTAAATCCAGAACATTTCCATCATTCCAAAAAAGAAACTCCATGTCTAGAGTCACAACCTGTCTCCCATCCCCTAGCAACCACTGATTTACTCTCAGTTCCTAATTTCTGCCTAAGGATTTGCCTATTCTGTACACTTCGTATACATGGAATCACACAATATGTGGTCCCTTGTGTCTGGCTTCTTTCACTGACCACAATGTTTTCAAGGTTTATCTGTGTAGTAGCATGCATCAGTACTTCATTCCTTTTCATGGCTGAGTAATATTCCATTGTATGAATATTACACCTTTGTTTATCCATTTATCAGTTGACAGACATTTGGGTTGCCACCACTTTTTGGCTATTATGAATAATACAAACATTTGTGTACAAGTTTTTGGGTGAACATATGTTTTCCATTCTCTTGGGTGTATAGCTGAGATTGGAAAAGTTTGGTCACGTGGCAACTTTTGTTTAACTTTGGAGAAGCTGCCGGGATCACAGTTTTTACTCCTTAAGCCATCAAAAATGGAAAAATCACATTTATTACTAGACAGAGCATGGGCACATCCATTACAGGTCAGATACTGAGATGCAGCACTGATTTGGGGAATTTTTATAACGGGGAAAAAAAGTTGTTTTAGTGAAGTGGCTTTGACGAGAAGAGAAAATAAAAATAAAGGTGGTTTCTTCTAAAAGTGAAATTAAGCTCAGGTTCATCTCTAGGTCCTTGTGTGAGTAGCTGGCTCTTGCTCAGCCAGTGGTCTCAGAATATTCAGGGAAAGTTTCCTCCCAGAAAATGTGAACAAAAGAGAATAAAAGGGGAATAAAACAGCAATAGATAGCAAGCTCAGGTTCCCAAACCAGAGAATCAACACTGAAATCAGAAATGTGTTTGTTTTTGGTTTGTTGTGGGTCTTTTTCTAAATGTTGATCAATTTAAAACTGATTATACCTTCCCTGGTGAACAGGAGAAGAAAAGAAAGGAATTTCAATTTTTAAGAAGTAGGGTTTTGGTGTTCTGTGTTTTGTTTTTTTGTTTTGTTTTTTTAGCATTACATGTTTATAGATTTTTCAATTGATTGCCTTTTTTGTAGTTTAGAATTTTATACATTACAAAGCTGTTTTTTGGGACGAAGTCTCTTTGTTTTGATTGTTAAATAGTTGTAGTTCATCTTACCTTTTTCAAGCAATAAATCTGACTTCTTGCAACAGCTGGTCTATTGGGAGACCTCGAGAAGCCGAAGGGTTTCATGAATTATACCTGATTCACCCGTCAGGATAAGCAGGTTTAAGCTCTAACTGAACATCCCCCGACAATGTCAGCTGATACCCAAGAGCAAACACTTGACCTCTGAGTCTCACAGCACTTTTCACTATTTCCACACCAGCACTATCTCCCATCTCCCCTGCAGTCACTAGTTTCTTTTTGAATGTTTGTATTTTGCAATCTTATGTGTTCATTCATGCCACTGGTAGCCTGGAACCCTGTTCATTCTTACCTATTTTATCTGATTTAAACCCCCTCGTCATCATGGAGGTCACTATCACCACTCCACACAAGCGGACATCTGGGCCTGCATTTGGAACCTCTCTGTGCTTTTCTGTCTCCATCATTATTTTATTTGTTTATGCAAGAAAATATAACAGAAAAAAAAAGAAAAAGCAGGCAAAAATGCTGACTCTGCAGTACCATCATAAAAAGAACTGTGTCAGTGTTTTCTAACGGAAGACAGCTTGGTTTGAATATGTTATCACTCCAAAACCACCATTAGAGGTGAACTCCGGGAACTGGCACGCAGTTAAGTGCTTGGTGTGAATACAGGGATGGCTGAGTAAACAACCAAAGGGAATTGCAAGCGGCAGGAACGGATTTGAGAGAGCTGAGCATTCAGCGTGGCCATCAGGCCTGGTACAAAGCTTGCTGCGGGGGAACCAGAGTACACCGGCTGCCTCGCTTTGAAGGGGTCGGGTTATGCAAAGTCCCCAGCAGCCTCTGAGGGTTACACACTCCAAATGTCTGGAGGGGAAGCAGGTGCATCCAGCCCAAGGAGCTGGCTCTGGTGTCCCCTGGCTCTGAGCACCTAACTCAGTTCACCTAGAGTGGGGATCTTGCTATTTCAACTTCCTCCTGTGATGATGCCAAGACATCATGGGTACAGGCAGTGCTTTATAAAGGGTGTCCCAAAATGCACGCAAGATTTGAATTTTGTGGGAGCATTAACAACAACAACAAAAAACAAAAGCCTAATTTTACTTGGTTTATTGCATCAGATTCTAATATCTGTTGCCCTTTGATTTCAATCCCTTCAATTTGATAAGCATTACCAAGTACCAATTATGGCCCAGGAGCAGGGACAATGAAGACCAATGAAGACCACGGCTTTGCATATGTGCCAGCATACCCGATGTGCTATTCCATACATAACCCTATACTGTATACTTTATGGATCAATAAAAAATTGACAATTTTTAATTATAAACCTGTGTTTTCTATCAAAATCACTTCTTGCGTGAATTTTTGGGACACCCTTCATAAACCAAAAGGTGTCTGAACAAGGTGGGGGAGGCAGCAGTTCTGCCCAGGTGTGTCCCAGGTAAACCTTCTTAAACCTGGGCGAGCACTCGGGGTCTCTGGGGGACGCCGGTGAAATGCAGACCCTGACTCCCGAGCCTGCAGCGCGGCGCGGTTAGTGACGCTCACAAACTGGGGATGCTGAGCTGCTGAGCTGAGGACTGCGGTCTAAAGAGCAGGTGCAGAGGGGCCACCTCTGCGTCCGCGGGAGACACGCGCAGGGCGGGGAGGAGCAGCGGGGAGGCCGGGAGGAAGGACGGGGGAGCGAGAGGAGAGGCTGGGAGGGAAACGGGGGGCGGCGGCCCCGGCGAGGATGCGCAGACCGAGGCGGCTCCGCGGCTGCGCGGGCTGCGGGCGGGGGACGGGCCGGCGCGGGCTGGCGGCGGCGGAGGCGGCGGAGGCGGCGAGGTCCCGGCCCCGCGCCCGCGGCGCCCCCGCAGCGGCCAGGGCGGCCCGGCTGAGGGCTCGGTGCGCAGCGATGGCGCGGCCGCCGGGGCCGAGCCGGGGGGTCTGGGCGCCGCTGTTCTGGCTGCTGCTGGCGGGGCCCGCCGCCTGTGCCGCCAGCCCCGGGGACGACGGCGCGGGGCCGGGCGGCCGGGGACCCCGAGGCCGCGTGCGGGGCGACGCGGGCGCCGACGAAGCGGTGCGGCGCCACGACTCCTCCTACGGCACCTTCGCCGGGGAGTTCTACGACCTGCGCTACCTGTCGGAGGAAGGTGAGGCTGGGAGGTGCGGGGTGGCGGAGGGGAGACCCGGCTGGGGGACGGGGGCGGGGGCGGGAGCGAGGGTGGGGAGTTGGAAAGGACGCGAATGGAGGCAGCTTTGGCGCAGCCGAGGCGAGGCCGGGCAGAGAGCGCAGGGCTCAGACCCCATCCGCCTGGTGAAGGGGCCCGCAGAGCTGTCCGCTTTCCAGGTGGGGAGACTGAGGCCGGGCGAGGGAGGGTGCCAGCCGAGTCCTGCGAAGCTGCGGACAGGTGGGCTGCCCCGGTGTTCAGCACCTGGCCTCCACCCTCTCGGTCAGGGGTCGGGAGTGTGTGGGGGGGGGGGGGGGAAGGGAGGAAGTTGGGGGGAGGGGGCTGCCATCTGG